TGGGATGTAGTTCAATGATAAAGTGCCCTGGGTTCAATCATCAGTACTAAAACCAACCAAACAAATGAAACTACCAGCCCATTCAGAGACACAGGGTCAAATAATATAGACGTTTGTCTCTTAACCCATGTTTGCTCCCTGATTTTGCAGTAGTGTGTTTATTGAAGTTGGGTGAGAGGAGGGGCTTTGCACAAACTGGGTCTGTCAAGAAACAGGACCCAAATGTGCCTTGTGTTCAGTTTCCTCTTCCCCTGGGTGTTCACCCCTGCATTAGAGCCCTCAAGGAACCAGCAAACCCAGCCCCCTGAGCCCAGAAGGATGTTGTTAGGCAACCAGGAAATGTGATTATCATTAAAGATGGGACTGGGTATTAAAGAACCAGAAGTCTTGCAGGATTGACAGACAGAAGGAACACAGCACATGGCAATGTTCAGTGGAATATCCTGGAAAACAATATGCCACCATCCTAACATTGGACACAGTGAAGCTCCAATTGGAGGGAAGCAGTGGTGTTTTTCAATGAAGGAATAGGGGCTACAGGCCCTGTGTTCTGTATGGGGTTCTCTCCCCACACCTCCATGGATGAGGAACATCCTTGGGAGGAGCTGAAGAAGTAAATTTGAAGCTACTACATGCCGTGGTCTCAGTCCTGGTGATGGGGTCAAGTTCCATTACCAACAATCTTTTACCATGTCATTCAGCTCTCCAACACCTTTCTGTACAAACCATGCAGAAACCAAAAGAATGAGCAGATGGCACTGAGAGACAAAGCTGCAGAAATGGTTTGTAAACATTTTGTCCATACCCAAACTTCTACTTACTCACATTCTGACTTATTATTCACTCTCTTTTCTCCCAAAGCCCAAGGGTCTCCCCCAAGTCTCTGACTCTTTTCTAACCTGAGATCTCACTGCAGACCAACTGCTCATTAAGGAGCTCTGTCATCTACTCCTACCCCTAATCCATCCTCCTGCCACCCCACCCTACCCCTTCTCACCTGGACCCATTCCCTCCCTCCCCCACTCATCCAGTTTGACCCTCACTCTCACTCTTCTTCTCCCCCACAGCACTCCACCCAAACTCATCCCTCCCTGACTCACCTCAAGTCCCATTGACATAAACAAAAATGTCAGCACAACCCACTCCAACCGGTTTGGCTTAGATGTGCAGCCTGTCATGGGGACAGAGATTGGTTTAAGCGGATGCTTGGACACATGCAGATAATGAATATCCACAGTTATAATGTATACAGAGACAGTCCCATGTATGGGATCATGAACACATAGAGCTAAGATGGAGAGATAGATACAGTGTGTTATGGTTGTTTATGTCTCAGTTTTCTCCTGATTGAGAGCAGGTCCCATGTGTTATATGTGTCTGTCACCTCCCCTGAACCTGACACAAAGTGGAAGGTACGTGTGGAAGTAAGCACGCAGTGGATGCCATGCACAAAAATACATATGCTAAAGATGCCACTGTGGCTTGAATTGTTCCCATTCTTAGGGCTCAGTATGTGGGTAGGAGGAGAGTAGGTAGTGAGGCTAGAGGGAAATGGGGATTCATTGTAGAAGAAAGAATTGGACCCAGAATACCAGGCATTGCTTTTTTCGTAATGGGGTCTAAACCCAGGAATACACTGAGCTATATCCCCAGTCCTTTCTATTTTTTATTTTGAGAGAAGGTCTCACTAAATTACCCAGGCTGGCCTTGAATTTATGATCCTCCTGTTTAGCATTCCAAGTTGGTGGGATTATAGGCCTGTGCTACCATGCCTGGCCAGGCACTGGTTTTGAAAATCTTCCCCAACTTATATTTTCTTCTAGTGTTTGCTTTGGAATGTGCCTTCTCCAGTCTTCATCCCTGAAGAAGGTAAGAAGACCTAAGTATGAGGCATATTCTCCAGAAGCATGGCCCTTGTAAGATGTGCAGGATTGAGGGAATGAGGGGACAAAGAGTCTTAGAGATCCCCACCTCAATCAAAGTCCTGGGAGCTCTCTGACTCTGGTGCTCCCCCTCAGGCCTGGTAGCATCCTTTCCCCAATTCAAGGTTTCCTCTGGTGTTTACTAGAACCTGACCATTACCTTAATACAACTTCTGGAAAGTTCTGTTCCTCTTCAGTGCTCCATAAGGCAAGAGTTGGGGGTGAGTGATTAAGGGTCCCAATCAGGGGCTGAGATATCCTGACTGGTAGCATTTTGGAAGAAGGAATATATTGTGAATGGAAAGGGTGCAGGACACTGAATACCCAGCTTGTGATCTAACTGCTTTCTCACCCCATACCTCAGTTTCTACTATGGTTTCCTATACCTGGAGGGGTGAATCCGTGGGAAGTAAAGGAACTCCTCTGAAAGCATGTGATAGGATCCAAGGTGTGATAATTATAATTATAATACAGGATGCTCCCCCTCCCATTCCCCCTGGCTCTACTCCACCCCTGCCACACTGGATCTCAAAGCAGCATCAGGGTGGGGCTGTTCCCCTGGCACAGGTGGGGACCAGAGTCCTGAAGAGGGGAAGGGGTTTGCCAAGGTGGAGGTGGAAAGAAACTGGGGAGTTTTGGCATCGAGCCTGGCCTTTGAATCTGTTTCTGACCTGCAGGAAATAGCCCTTGAAAAAGAGATCACTGCCATGGTCATTGCTGAGAACAGGGATCCAGAGCCAGAGATGGGATCATAGTCCAGAGGCAGGATTAAAGTCCAGGTCACATCCCAGGTTCAACATGGTAACTATGGTGAGTTCAGATCTCCACTTTCTGACTCAACCTCACTATCTTCTCTATACTGACATTTATTTATTCAGAAATTCATGCCTTCAACAAAGATGCATTCAGTTCCCATTCAGTGCTATGAATTGTCCTGGTATGGATGACTGAGACAAGATTATAAAACAGGCTTGACTTTCAAGGAGTTCACAAACTACAACTCTCATCCTGTCCCTTCATTTAACATATTTACTAAATCCCTGGCACACAGCAGGCTTCAATCAATGTTTCTTGAACTAAAGCTTACAATTTAGTTCAGGAGATAAGATGTGCACAAATTATGAGCACATAAGCTATAATAAAGAGACTAACAGAGGATGAGAAAGAATAGAAGAGAGAAAGATTAATTTTGGGTGGGAGGAACTGAGAAGACTTCATGAGAGATGTGGCATTTAAGGTCAGTTTTGAGAGAGAAATAAGATTTGACAAGTAAGGGGCTAGGGGTGTAGCTCAGTAGTTGACTGCTCCCAGGTGCAAGGCTCTGGGTTCATCCTCTCTCCCTTCTAAAAAAAAATAAATAAACAAACAAACTTTTTTTTTGACAGGTAGAGTTGGTGGGATAGTGGTGGTAAATATTCTACATGAAATGACTCCTTTTCCTTACTGCTTCATGGTTCCTCCTTTCTGCCCCTCTCCAGGCAGAAGGACCCTTCTGTAAGATTTTAACCCACATTTTTTCTTCTTCCATGCCTAGCTCTTTATTTACCAGTTAAAAACTGTATGTGTGTGTATGTATGTATATGTATGTGTGTGTGTGTGTGTGTGTGTGTATATATATATATGTATTTTCCCCCCAATCTGCCAGAATCTTGCTTCTCTCCTTCACTAAGTTTTCAGAGGGTTCAGAATGTGCTCCTTTCCTCTGGCTATCCTAGGTAGGTTAATAAGGTTTTGTTTCACATGGTGGTCACTTTTTTCCATCCAGAATATAAAACACATGGTCAGACAAGTATGAGTATACTTATCAAAGGACAGGGACAGAGTGTCTGAAATCAAGATGGTCCTTTCCAAGTCCAGACATGTGTCTTTCCCCATGACCATGGGGTAAAATAGGAAAAATGGCCAGGCATGGTGGTGCATGTCTGTAATCCCAATTACTCCGAGGCTGATGCAGGAGGATTGAAAGTTCAAGGCCAACTTGGACAATTTAGCAAGATCTTGTATCAAAATAAAAATAAAAAGGCCTGGGGGAAGATAGTTCATTCGGTAGAATGCCTCTGGGTTCAGTTCTCAGTACCACCAAAATAAATAAATAAACAAACAAACAAACGGAAAATGGTCATAGAGAGGGTATTTTACAACTTTCTCTCAAGTTGTCCTGATATACTTTTGGAAATCCTAGCCTAGTCACAAGGTGTTAAAGCTGAGAAAAGGCCCTGAGAGGAAAGCCAGGAATCCATAGGGCTAATTCTTTGGTCAGTGCCTTGGCTCCTCCCATATAGGGATGAGGTCAGAGGGGACCACTTAAATTATTTCTCTGGGATCTCTCTCTCTTTCTCAAGAATTGATCCCATGGTCACTTTATCACTGAGCTAAATCTCCAATCCTTTTCAAATTTTAAGACAGGGTCTTAAAACTTGGTCTCACCAAGTTTCCCAGGCTGGCCTCAAACTTTGAATCCTCATGCCTCAGTCTCCCAAGTCACTAGGATTATAGGCGTGGTGCCACCACACCCAGCTCTCAAAGTGGGCAAATTAGATAGAGGTGTCTCAGCAAAACATGACACTAAGTTGTGTGTCCTCTGCCAAGTCCCTTCCCTTCTCTGGACCTCATCTGAAGAATGTTTTCTCATCTGAAGAATGAAATAAATTTATGGACCTGCAAGCCAGGATCCTTTTCTGTTCTGATATTTTTCTTCTCTGATTCTATAGCTTCAAAGCTGAGCCCCTCCAGGAGTTGGGGAACTGTCAATTTTGGGAACTGTCACTTTGGGGAACTGCTCCCAGCAGTCAGCAAGCCTGCCTGGGGTGTGAGATGCCACCCACAAGGGCCTTGCCCCTGTTCATCCTGGCTAGGCCCGCACCTCCACCCTAGTCCCTCCCTTCGCAGCCCCTTCTGTGCACTCACAGGTAAAGCCCGGAGCTGAGGATGGGACCCCACAGCCCCCACCCAGGTTCTTCCCTCCTATCCTCCCTCCCTGGCGCCCATTAGCTAGCCCAGGCCGTGGGGGCGGTGGCTGCTGAGTCTCCGTGCCAGGCCCAGCCCCCGGAGACGCACCTGTTCTGACCTGCTGAGCAGGTTCCCAGGTTTCTGCCGTCGTTGTTGGCCACGGCGTGGGAAGCAGCTCTGGGGGAGCTCTGAGCTCCCGATTACGGCTTCTCAGGGGTAGCCACGGCTAGGTGGGTAGAAGCGGGCTGGGTCTCCTAGTGGAGACCCAAGTCGGATAGGCAGGTGCATCAGTGCCTGGGGACTCTGTAGCTTCCTGTCGACTGGGTCGTGTGCCTTATCCAGCTCTAGACCCGGCTCCCAGGGAGAACTCGGTGGAACTTCAAAATCGCTGGGCAGGTCTGCCTTTCAACCAATGCCCCTGTCCCTGGGAGCCGAGATGTGGGGGCCTGAAGGTTGGCTGTTGCTGCTGTTCCTGGCATCATTTACAGGTAGGACTTACCTGATCCATCAGGACTCTTATTTCTGAGCCCAACCTGGCACAGGCATGCACACACAAACACATAAACACACATGCATGCATTCATACAAACATTCTCTTTCCTTGGACTTGGGACAGAAGAGCCCATCTCTAGCTGCCAGGAATGCCCCCAGAAGAACCAATGTAGCTCTCTGTCCCCTGGTGAGGTCACTGTGTCTGGGGTCCCTGATTACCTCTGCCAAAACCTTACCTAGGCCTGAGCTGTGTCTAGGGGAAATAGATATGGTGACTCAGTGCAGGTGGGCAGGGAGGTGGAACTGCTGAGGACCCTGATCACCCCAGGGCTTCCTGGAAGCTCTTTGGCCTATCCTCTAGACTCCAAAGCTGGGGCTGACTCAGAGCTCAGCTGTCTCAGCAATCATCAGGTGCAGGAAGCCTGATGTCCAGGGAGCATTTCTTTCTCCTTCTCTTGTCTTTGTGATATTCTAGGGTACCAGGATTGGGGTGTCTGTTGGGGGACAATAGAGAAGCTGAGCTATCTTCTCACTCTGGCCCCTCTCTTTCCCTCGGCACACATACTGTTAAGTGTCAGGGTGATAATAGTGGCTATTTAAAGGGCTTCAGGGTCTAGGATAGGGGACCTTCTAGATAGGGTGTGGTCTCCTTTTGTTCATTTCCTGTGCCCCTGTTTTCTCAGATGTATTATGCTGTTCCTCACAGCATACAAATGTAATATACATGCAGCAGATATGAATTATCAGAGTTTATAATATTCAGAGTGGGAGTGTGTGTCGTGCGTGTGCATGCGCAAATTGCGATACCATAGATTGTTCCCAGGGTAAGAGGTAACTGAGAAATCTTTGTACTTGGGAAGATGGGGCCCTACCTGGAGAGGGCAGTTGAATCCTCAGCCTTAAGAGTAGTAATGAGGGAGTCTCAGTTGTCCAAAAGCCTCTCTGGCTGTGATTCCCATTCCCAGCTCCAACTGATGCTCTATGGAGAAGGTTAAGGCCTGGATTGCTGGATTGGTAGGGTTGGGGGCTGCTCTGGCTTTGGTCTTATAATGGAAGGTCATTGGCCCAGCCTCCAATTTCAGAATACTGAGTTCCAACCCCTGCTGCTCCCCCATCCTTGTGTCTTAATTTGCAACTTCAAGACAACCTTCCTCACTTGCTCAGGCCAAGAGGGTGGGGCCTCATTGCTGGGGCTAGGGAACCTAGCAGGCACTTTCCTGTAGGATCTACCCACACCTAAAGAATGGAGTCATGCTGTCTCAGGACTTGGAAGGGATCAAAGAGATCTACCACTCCAACTCCCTCATTTTACAGATGGGAAAACTGAGAGAAATAGATAGGGAAATGAGATCTACAAGATTACTCAGTGTCAGAAATATAACCAGGGTTAGTATCTTGGTCTCCTGACTCCTTGTTCACTAAAGAAAAGTACAATCAAATGTACACTGGGTACAGCTGAGGTTCTAGATGCTGGAGAAGCACTGGTGAATAAGACATGACCCCTACCTTCCTTTCCACGACACACAGCTTAATGTTCTTTCAAAGAGAACCCCATCTAGTTGGGAAATTGCCCCTGTCCTCACCCAGTGCCTTGATGTGAGCTGCTCAGGATATGGTACCTAAGGAGACCACTCTGCTGCTGCTTCTATAGCCTCCTCAGGGCTATTGTTAACGCTCAGGGCTGATGACTCAGAACCCCCTAGTCTTAGCCTGAAAGCAGGTGTTCCATCTCCATTGCCATCCCCATTCTACCTCTTTTGTGTGTTGACATCTCCTTAGTGCCCCTAGGAGCCTGGAGGGCTTCATGTTTCTGAATTAACCTTGGATTGGGAAATCAGAAGCCTTGGATTCCGATCCCATTTCTGCTATTAATTTGCTGAGTGACCATGAGCAACTAAGAAACTTAAATTCAGTGGGCCTAGAGCTAGGAATGGATGATCTCTGCAGATCTTCCAATTCTGAAATGCAATGACTCTGTAATTGTCCAACTCTTAGCTGGAGGGTGGGGGGTGCTGGGGTGTTGGAAGAGTTGCCCAGTCTGACTATAAAAATAGAAGGGGCAAAGGGTCTTTGCTGCATCTCTACTGGGGACCTAGAGGACCTTTCCCTAGGATATTTTCTTAGCCTTACTGCAAATTTACGCCCCCTCCCCAACTCCTGGGCCTGTAGAGCTCTGAGCCCCAGGGCCCTGCCCCACCCTTGACAGGGAGAGGAGCCCAGGCTTGGGAGGCGCCTCCAACACCACAGCTCTTTGTCTTTCCTTAATGGGATGAGTTTCCGGGTGCGTTCCCTCCCTCCTCCTTCCCCCATCTCCTGTCTTGGTGTTAAGGGGCCCAAATCTGGGAGATACCCTTCAATAAACTCCAGGTCCCCACCTTTTGTCTGGACCCAGAGGGCCCTGTAGGACCAGAGAATGAATGATTCTTTGAATTCTGAGGTCTGTCTTCAGAGGGTTAGGATGAGTTCTCTGTCTGAGATTAGTTTCCTAGAAAGGGAGGTGCCCTGTCTCTGCTTTTCTATTCCTGTTTACAAAGGGGGGCAGGCCCTTTCCTGTAGGATCTACCCAAACCCAGAGAAGCCAGAAAGGGAAGCTTGCTTCCCCACCCAAGTGGCAAGAACTGGGAGAATCCCAGGGAAGCCCTTGGCCCCAGTGACCTTGGTTCCACCCTAGTGTTTAAGGGGACTGGGCTAAGGAGACCCCAGCAACAGAGCTTAGAGTCCATGGTTTCATCTTCTGTATTCTAGCCTCAGAATCTTGGGGTACTCTGGGCAATGTGAATGGGAGTTAGCCACAGTGTAGAGCAAGCCCAGTGAGGAGAAAATGCCTGGGCTTTCTGGCCTCCAGAACTTGTCCTTGTACTGACCACAGAGTCTGGCAGAGAGAAGGGATGGAGGTTAAATTAAGAAACTTGAGTGAGGAGGGAAGGGGATAATGGAGACTTGGGGTCTTTTGGTCTAGATCTGGGATGGATATATATATATATATGTATATATATATATATTTGGTACTGGGGATTGAACCCAGGTTTGCTTTTGTTTGGGGGGGGGGGGGGGTACCAGGGATTTAACTCAGGGACACTTGACAACTGAGCCACATCCCCAGCCCTGTTTTTTGTATTTTATTTAGAGACAGGGTCTCATTGAGTTGCTTTAGCACCTTGCTTTTGCTGAGGCTGGCTTTGAATTCATGATCCTCCTGTCTCACCTGGGATTACAGGCATGCACCACTGTGCCCAGCATACCCCCAGCTTTTTTATTTTTTATCTCATTAAGTTACTAAGGTTTTGCTAAGTTGCTGAGGCTGGCCTCGAACTTGGGATGATAATAATCTAAAACAAGAGAAATTCAAAATGGTGAACTGTCCACTGTACCTCCTAGAAGAAGGATATAGAGAGGATGATTGGGATAGGATCCTTTTTACTGAAACAGGCAGCCAACAGGGAGCCCCCCAGCCTCAGGAGCGTTCTCTATAGTTTTCTGACTGCCCTCCATTTCCCTCTAAAACTGGTGTGTCTGGGGAGCTGGGGTGGAGGCTGTGAGTTGGGGTGGGGCAGAGCTGGCCTTGGCTGGGAGGGGGCAGAGGTGGGGGGGGCAAGGATCTCAGGAGTTTGAGAGAAGCCGAATTCTGGGTCTCCCACCCACAGTGTGGCTGTTGTGGTGACGCAGCAGGGCTCAGACTCTGGCTCCGGGGGGGTTTAGGGGACTTATCTGTGCTGGGAGCTGTGTCTGGGCCAGAGACAGCTGCCTCTAGGCCTGTCCTCTCCCATTGTTCTCCTCTCTCTGTGATTGGTGTGCCCCCCTCCCCAGACACTAATCTGCAGGTGGGCGCTTTGCCCGGGGTTGGGAAGCTCTCACTAAGCCAGGGGGCTTAGGACAATGGGGGATAAGGAGGGAGGTAGATGGGCGGGAGTCTTCTTGTTTTCAAAGTTTCTTAGCACTCTAAGGCCAAGGTTAAGGGGGAAGGGAGGACCAAGAGTGGCTTGCTGGATTGTTTATATCATCTGTCCTGGATGGGGCTTCGGTGCTTCCCTCCCAGGTCTTTTCTACCAAACTCACCCACATTCTCCAGGTCTCTCTGGTGGAGCTAGAGTTGTGGGGTTAGGGCAGGGAAGAGTTAACAAAGAAGAATGAGACCCTAGACAGTTTGGACCCCTCCCTCTAGCCTCAGGCAGATCTCCCCCCTTCTCACCAAACCCACACCAGACAGCCCTTACCCCGGGCCTGGGGCTGGAGCTGGTTTTTCAGGTGGTGGCAGCAGCAGAGCTCAGACAAGAGATTCCCAGGGAGAGGCCTCGCTGGGGGGCCAGAGGTGCTGAGGGAAGCCCAGGGGGCAACAAGGGTGAGAGTCCCTTTAGTAGGAACCTGAGGAACAAGGGAGAGGGAGCTTTTGTTTTGTTCTTGTTGGGAAGGCTTGGTGGTAATTTCCCAATACCTAGAGGGACAGTGACCTCATCTCTGGGTACCTTCAGCTTGAACCTGAGATGAATCTGTCCTCAAGTCTCAGGGTGAGGGATGCCGGGGGGCAACACTTGAGACAGGTCACACAGCAAAGGCTCAGAATCACACACCGCTGACCAAGGGCAGCTGAGACAGATGCGGAAACCAAGATAAGCAACATCAAAATATTTACTATGTGTGCAGAGTTCTGCAGGACAGGAAAACCTGACAGGCATATAGGGTATGAGATGCACATGTAATGAATGGTGCACGCACATATGTTTGCTTGCCCACGAATGCAAAACTCTTCCCTCTGGGCATAGAAAAGTAACTATATAGAATCCCTTGAAGATAAGACATGAATACATATATGTGTGAAATACCCCCAAATTCATGAAAGGACATAACCTCACAGATGTGCGAGCTCTATAGAAAGATTGGCCAGGCAAAGTATTTGGACATTTGGTGGTGCATGCTATAATCCCAGTGATTTGGGAAGCTGAAGCAGAAACTAAGTTTGAGGTCAGCCTGGGCAACTTTGTGAGAACCTGTCTCAAAATAAAAAAAGGTTTGAGGTATAGATCAGTGGTAGAGTACCCCTGGGTTCAATCCCTAGTATTGAAAAGAAAAAAAATACTTTTTTCCCTTTTTCTCATAGACCCACCTCTAGGACCCCTGTGTGCACCCCTATTTGTTCCAACAGAGGATATTGATAAATATAGGCCCCTCATAAAGAAAAGATCTCTTCCCCAAAGATGCTGCTGTGGTTGGGTATGTGAGGTATCAGCCTCAGTTTCCCCTTTGATCAGAGGCCAGGCCTCACACAGAAAGGAAAGTTGGGATCTAGGCAAAACGTGGGGTGCAGCCAGCTAGCCCAAGCCAGGAATGGAGGACCTGTCTGGGAGCAGGCGGGGTACACAAAGGGCAGGGCCCCAAAGAGGCCTGAAGGGGCCTGGCCAGGGGTGGGGGAGGCTGAGGGCAGGGATCCCGTCTGGCCAGTTGGGCCTGTTCTCTTCCTTGCGCAAGGTGGTGGTGGCTGTGGCTAGGCCTGCTGCTGTGTGGCGGCTTCTGAGTCACCAAGGCTCCTGACCAGCGTCCTGGTGCTCCTGGGAGGCAAGGAGGGGAGGGGAGGGGAGGAGTGCCCAGCTAGCTAGAGTCCACTAGCCTCAGCAAACAATTTGCAGCAGAAGGGTCTGTGGGCTTGGCCTGGCCTGGCCACCACATGCCCGCAGGGTGACCTCACCAGGCAGGCCGTGTGTCTCCTTGGGTCTGGTGACATCATCATGCTGACGCCGGGCAGGCACTGGGTGGGGAAGAGGAGGAGGCAGTCCTGGCCTGCCCTGGCCTGAGAGCCTGAGCTCCTGAGTCCATGAAGCCCAGGACAAGGACTCTAGGGCCCGAGTTCATTTTTTTTTTTTTTTCCCTTCTTTTGCAGCTTAGGGGATGGATGGAAGGTAGTTGGAGGAGAGAGTTGCCTCAGCCTGAGATGCTCCTATTAAATTGTGGATTTAGGACCATGGGAGGGTGGGTGCTGCAGGAGAGATCCAGAAGGGACTTTCTTGTTTCATTGGGTTTTCATTCTGCAAAGCTTGAGCTTGTTTTTGGGGGTGGAGCTCTTGGACTCACAGGTCTAAGGGACGTGGAGGACTTGGGCTCATGTATGTGTTCTGCCCTAGAAGGTAATTTTTTGGGGGGTGGAATATGAGGGGGAAGATGATTGGCAGATACAGGGATGGGGATGGGATATATGCCATCTGACATCATCCCAGAAATGATCTTTAGAGAAAACTGAATGTTTCAATGGGGCAGGCCTTAGGATCCCTGTGACCTACATGGTCACCAGTATTTGAGGCAGAGAGTATTCCAGGGAGCCTCTATCCCAAGCCTGACCCCAGTTCTTCTTTTGCAGTCCTCCTTCTCTCTCCAGTGCCAGAAAGGAGGTGCCTGGGAGGGGTGCAGGTGGTTAGCTGGACTCCCAGGCTGGGCTGGGTGGGACCAAAATAAGCTTAGGCAGGTCAGGGCCCTGGTATCTGGCCCTTCAAGTCTGTCCCGTCTGGTCTGGGCCCTCCCAACTCCCAGCAGAGTCTTCCCTCCCTCTACTCCTGCCAGCAGGACCGTAGGACCCCTTTTTCTGCCTCATTGAAAACCTCTCGTCCACTCAATGTTTCACTGTCTCCCTCCATGTCTGCCTCCCTTCCCTCTTCCTCTGTCTAGTCCAGAGGTGCTCCCTTTGTCTATGACCCAAATAACCAGCCAATCCTTATCCTGCCTCCACCCCAAGGTTGCCATGACAATGCCCTCCCTGCCGGGACCAACCAAGGACTGTACATTCCTCCTCATCCTACCCTTTCTTTCTCTGCCCTTGTCTCTCACTCATCCATTTTCCCATTCACTCATTCATCCAGTTGGTCAGTTAATAAACTTTCATCGAGCACCAGTTATGTGTCTGGCATGAAGACCACATGAACACAAAATCAGAAACCATATTTCCATATGTGATGTGTGGTCCAGTTTCTGCTCTGTAGGAGCTCAATCTGGTGGGGGAGGCAGAGAAGAAAACAGCAAATGCAATCTATAGGATACAGTTAGGACAGGGGGAAAAGCGAAGAATTAGGAGAGTACAAAGGAAGGACATCCAAGGCTGCCTGGGGTAGGGCTGGGGAGGGACGACTCCAGGAGGAAGTGATGCCTAAGCAGAGTCTTAAAGCATGAGTAGGAGTCCTCCAGACAATGATGAGTAGGAGCTACCAGACACAGGGAGGAGGGCATTCCAGGCAGGGGTACAGTATGAGCAAAGGTGAGGATCAACAGGGTGTGTGGGGTGCTGGGCAGAAGCAGCGACTATAACTCGTTGGGAGTTGCTGGAATATACATCTAAGTCAAGGAGCTCTTGCCACACCAGAGCACCCTTCTGACCCAGCCCTTGGTCCCGTGTTTCACATTTCATTCCACAACTCACACATTTATTTCTTCCCAACCATGAGCTTCTCCAGGCCCTGCCTCTTTCATAAGGTATTCATTCTGGAAATTCTGTTGTCATTGAGTCTCTCCTCTCCCACATCTCTCTTTTTGGTCAATGATCAATCCAATCCCTGTCAAATTTCCCTCCAGGAACTGTTTGCTCTTTCCTGCCCCAGCAACACCATCCCAGGACAGCAGCTGTCTTTGGTCTGCCTACTCTCTGGTCCAACTGCACATCACCTCTTACCTTGCACTACTCACAGGGCTAAGGAACCTTCAGTGACTCCCCGTCTACTCTTGACCAAATCTAAATTCCTTTGCCTGGCATGGAAGGTTCTGGGCAATTTAGCCCCACCCTACCCCAGCCATATTTTCCACTCCTGTTCAACATACACACCCTAATTTAGGTTGGGTCCTCTCCTCTGCTTCCTGAAACCAGCCAGCCTTGCCACTACTTCTTCACTCACCTTGATCTTTTACTTGAAATGCCTTTCTAGGTCTCTCTCCCTGCTAATCCTATGCAACTCATCCATGAGGCCCTCCCCCATGACTCAAGCCCACAGTGACTGCCTCATCATACAACTGGCCTGCAACACACCACTAGGCACCAAATCAGAAACAATCATGGCATATTTCCATGAGTATCTCTTCTTCCTAAACAGACCTCTGGTTTCATGAGGGTAGGGAATGGATCTTTATTTGCAAGTTTATATGATGGATATCTGATTCCAAAGACTTCTTCAAGTGCTTCATACTGCTGCCCATCGATGTGCACAACACTACTCCTTCATCTCTGGTCCTAATTCTGCCTCACCAATCTGACCCTATTGCTATGTATCTGTCCTGACCTCATCTTTCTGGGCCTCTGACCTGGGCTGTGTCTTTGGTGACTTGTTCATTTTTGCCTCTGAGACTTGGTTCATGCCATTCCTCCCACTTGGAATACCTTCTACTCTCTGAGAATCCAGTTTCTCACCTTCAAGCCATGAAAAGAAAATTCCAAAGGGCCTCGCTGGATGAACTCTTCTCACCCTACCTGCTCCAGCCAGACACCAATGGTTCTGGACTCTTGCTGTGGCTCTCTGCCACACTTCCTGAAAGCATTCACTTTTACTTAGGTGGTAGGTTTAGTCTCCTGTGAAAGCTCCCTGGTGACTTTCCCTGTTTCTGTGTGCACAAATTCCATTTCCCTGAGGACTAGGAGCTCCCCGAGGGCAGGGGCTGGGTCTCTGGTCCTATTAAAGCCTCCCACCTTACAATTGCTCAGGATACAATCCTAGGCTACAAGAGGGTGTGAGTCTTCCATAAATTGTCTGTGTGGCCTTAGGCAAGTCACTTCCTCTCTCTGGGTCTCAGTTTCCTCATCTGTTAAATGGCGATAATAACGCCTACCTCTTGGGAATGTTTTGTGGATCTAATGAGGTAATGAACTGAATGCGCTTTGCAAGCATAAAATGCTCCAGGAGTTCCAGGAGGTCCGGCCGCTTTGGCTGTCATTATCATTATGATTGTGTTCCCTTGACTCTGGCTGCACCCCTAATCCTGTGTGCTCCTGTCTGCCTCCTGCAGGCCAGTGCCCCGCGGGTGTGCTGGAGACCACGGATTTGGTCACCGTTGTGCTGGGCCAGGACGCAAAGCTGCCCTGCTTCTACCGAGGGGAACCCGACGAGAAGGTGGGGCAGGTAGCATGGGCTCGGGTGGACGCGAACGAGGGTGCCCAGGAGCTGGCGCTACTGAACTCCAAATATGGGCTACACACGAGCTCAGCCTACGAGGGTCGCGTGGAACAACCACCCCCGCCACGGGACCCCCTGGACGGCTCAGTGCTCCTGCGCAACGCAGTGCAAGCAGATGAGGGCGAGTACGAGTGTCGGGTCAGCACCTTCCCTTCTGGCAGCTTCCAGGCACGGCTGCGGCTCCGAGTGCTGGGTAAGTGGTTCCGGCTGGGCATGGCGGGGGCTGCTGTGTGTGTGCAGAAGCACCAGACGCCCAGACTCAGGGTCAAGGAGGGCAGAAGCTGGAGGCAGGAGGAATAGGACCACAAAGACAGATGGGCCTGGGCTGGTGGCCAGGCCTATAATCCTAGCGACTTAGGAGGATGAGGCAGAGGGATGGAAAGTTCGAGGCCAGTCTGGGCAATTTAGTGAGATCTGTCTCAAAATTAAAAATAAAAGGGCTGGGGATGTAGTTCAGTGGTAGAGGGCTCCTGGGTTCAAGTCCCACAACAGGGGAGTGGGGACCAGTGATAGACAGGGCAACTGCAAAACAGGAATAAAAACATAGGATACTCTGGGGTGAGGGAGAACCATCCTTTTTATTCCTCCACCCAGTTCAGAAATTCTTTCCAAGTAACTCCCAAACCTGGGGAAGAATCCATTTTGGGGAAGTTCTTCCTTCTGATAACCTGAAATTGCCCTCTGTGTTATTTTGCCTGCTAGAGCAATGTAACACCTGGCCTTTCAAGGAATTGAAGACCTTTGTTAAGGACCTCCACCCAAATCTGCTCTTCTCCGAGCTACACTTACTGGTTCCTACCACCATTTCACTAAAGACACTGATTCAAAGCCTCCCTTGCCATCCTGGGCTCCATGGTTTTAAAATGTGAGGCCCAGATGTGGACAAGAGAGCCAGCTCTGGTATGGCCATGCATAACCAGGAGGAACCTTCAGTGAATGTGGTCTGAGAGCACAATTGCCTTTTAAACCACTATTGTGGGCACTTGTGGTCAACCTGGACCTATGGTCAGATTAAGTCTTTACCATTCTATGCTTGGGTTTTTAACATTTTGAAGCTAAAATTAAAGGTCTTTATATAGTTTTCCTTTATCCACATAGAAGGTAGTAACTCCAGCCTTGGTGTAGAAAATCTGAGTGTGAATCTAGACTTCATCACCTAAGACCTGAGCAAGTCATTTAACTTCTCTGAGCTTTAGTTTCCTCACCTGAAAAATAAGGATGCTAATACCTATCTCATTCGCTAGTTGACAGAATTAAATGAGATAACATTTGTAAAGTGTTTAGCATAATAATTGACACACAGTAAGTATTTACTAAATGGTGGCTATTATTATTATTAGATAGTGTCTAGTTAGTTTTTAAATTACTTCGTTATTTTTATTTAAAAAATGACCCATCTCATTGTAAAAAAATTCAAACAATGGAGAAAGATACAGTCACTTAAAAGTCTACCACTTATCTGGTGTACTTGTTAGTGAAATAAGAGAAAAACTAGGGAGCTGAGTGTGGTGGCATATGCCCATAATTCTAATGAGCTGGAAGACTGAGGTAGGGGGATTATGAGTTTCAGGTCAGCCTGGTCAACTTAGTGAGAACCTGTCTCAAATTTTTCCCCTTCCTTTTTTTTTTTTTAATATATATATATATTTTTTTTAGTTGCAGTTGGGATCCAATACCTTTATTTTATTTATTTATTTTTATATGGTGCCGAGGATCGAACCCAGTGCCTTGCATGTGCTAGTTGAGTGCTCTACCACTGAGCCAGAACCCCAGCCCCTCAAAATTAAAAAAAGAAAAAAATTAAAAAGGGACTGAAGATATAGTTTAGTGCTATAGCACCCCTAGTTTCAGTCCCCAGCACTGGGGTGGGGTAGAAAAGGAAAAAAGAAAAAGAAGACGAAGGAAGAGGGGGCGGGCAGCCTAAAGTTTGCAATGGTGCAAGACTACAGTGGGATGGAGTGGGGCTGGGGCCTCCTGAGAGGGCTTGTGCAGACCCGGGAACTCTGCCTTCATCCATCCACAGTGCCTCCCCTGCCCTCACTGATTCCTGGTCCACCGCTAGAAGAGGGCCAGGGCCTGACGTTGGCAGCCTCCTGCACAGCTGAGGGCAGCCCAGCCCCACAAGTGTCCTGGGACACAGAGGTCAAAGGCACACCATCCAGCCGCTCCTTCACGCACTCTCGCTCTGCTGCTGTCACTTCAGAGTTCCATCTGGTGCCTAGCCGTAGCATGAATGGGCAGCCACTTACCTGCGTGGTGTCTCACCCTGGCTTGCTCCAGGACCAAAGGATCACCCACACCCTCCAAGTGGCTTGTGAGTACTTAGATGCTTGGGTAGACAGGTCTCATGGGTTATAAAAGGGTTGGTGAGACACTGTGAGACCCCCCAAGTCCCTCCAGGCTGGCCAGCCTGGGTCCTGAGGCTATAATGTGTAAAAGTTGAAAGGTAGAAGACCTGGAGTCCAATGCCAGATAACGCTGGTGAATCACTGAGATCTCTCTGAGCTTGTGTCCTTATCTTTACAGAGGAGATTGCCTTGCTTTGCATCTTTGTTGGGAGAATCAAATATAAACATGGAATTGAAAGCACTTTGCAAAATATACATTTTAGGGTTTGGAGGCAGATTTGGGAAAGCTCTCGTTCTGTTTACCAGCTGTTATTTAATCTTGTTAGGCTTCATTTTCTTCATCAGTGAAATGAGTATAATTATACCAACTTTATGGGATTTTGATGAAAATTAGCAACCACGAAGCAAAGCATTTCACACAGAGCTCAAAGTATAGGAAAGCTCAGGAAACAGCAGAGACTGTATTCCCAGCAGTATACATCAAGTCTCTGGGCAGAGGTGGGAGGGACCATTTTCAGCTCCAGCTGCTCTTACATTTGGCACAAAGTAGGTCCTCAACAAATGTTTGTTAAAGAAATGATTGAACCAGGCACAGTGGCACATGCCTGTAATAACAGCAACTCAAGAGGCTGAGGCAGGAGGATCACAAGTTTGAGGCCAGCCTGGGCAACTCAGCAAGACCCCACCTCAAAATAAAAAAAAATAAAAATGAGCTGAGGATGTAGTTCAGTGGTAGAGCAGTCCTTGGTTCAAGCCTCAGTACTAAAAAAGAAAGAAAGGAAACGATAAACTAGTATGATTGTAGGATTGTAGTATTGTTAAACCTTCAAAGACTCTAATAGCATTTATTGAGCAAGTGGCTAGCACTTTGCTAGGCACCTCGGGAGATCCAGAAAAAGTGTGACACTTGAGGAACTTATTGGCTCATAACTCAGGTAAAGCAATATAGACTCTGAGCTTAGGAGAGGGAACCATGTGGCCAGGAGCTGTGGGCCAAGTGTGGTGCAGCTAGGTTTGGAAGCACATGAGTAGGATGGAAAAAGTCAAGGGGAGGCTATTCCAGGCAGGGTGGGGCAGGGGGCAGGGCCCTTCAAGGAATCCCATGATTAAAGGCATCATTCCCATGCTTTTTCCTCCCACCTCCCATTCCAGTCCTTGCTGAGGCCTCTGTCAGGGGCCTTGAGGACCAAAAGCTGTGGCATGTTGGCAGAGAAGGAGCTATGCTCAAGTGCCTGAGTGAAGGACAGCCCCCTCCCTCATACAACTGGACACGGTAAGAGGACTTACCATGGTGAGGACTAGGCTTGGGGCTAGGATCATCCCCTCCCAGGGCCAGCACATGCTCATTATGGGCTGGAATCATATATTCAAACTTATGATAAGCTAGGGCGCATGTTCAGACCTATACAAGAATATGCATGGTCACCAAATATTGTTGGCTTGTTCCAGGGCTTCTAGGATACATGGTCATTGGTAGAAAATAAAATGGATAAATTCTTGGCTCTTTTCCCCTAACTTTTAACTTGTAAAATACAGCATAATATTAGGGATAGGGCTGTAGCTCAGTGGTAGAGCACTTGCCTAGCATGCATGAGTCACTGGTTTCTATCTCTAGCACTGGAAAACACACACACACACACACAAGCCCATGGTATTAAATATTAATATTTTATAAATTTAGGTGAGTGCATAAAGTGCATGAGATGAAGAAGACAGCTGGATGTAACTATTGTTACACCAACACTCATTCCTATCATTGCCACAATATTGCCAGTACCTCAAAAACACCCTCCCACTTTCTCCAGCTCCCTCAAGAGTCCTGGTTTTTATTCCAGGGTCTGAGATGTCCAGAGACCAGAAAGAGATAGCGTGAACACATGTGTGATACCATAACAGATATGTTCTCACATGTGGGCGTATGAGCGATGCATGCTTTGTGCCTGGCACTAGGTTTGCGTGCCCACTATGCATCACAGGTGTTGGAGCCCTCAGTCACATTTTCCAAGTACCCCTGAGCCCAACTAGGGCTGCAGTGTCCTATGGTGTGGACTTTATAGCATGTGTGCCTGGTACCCAGTTCTGGATGACGTGATACCTATGGGAGAATGTGGGATGGCACGCGTGTGGATCTTCCCTGAGTGTGTGTGTGGGGTGCCCGGGTCAGGCTGGGCGGCAGGGAGAGGGGCCTCTGCCTAGACCTGCCTAGGGGAGGGCGGGGCACCGTGGGAACAGCCGGCGGCTCTGGGTGACGTCATGGGGGAGGGGGGGTGAGAGCTGTCTGGACATGCTGGGTGGTGGCAGCCTCAACCCGCCCCAGAAGGCACCCTTCAGCTTTCCTATCCTCCAGGCTGGATGGGCCTCTGCCCAGTGGGGTACGAGCAGAAGGGGACACTCTTGGCTTTCCCCCACTGACCACTGAGCATAGTGGCATCTACGTCTGCCATGTTAGCAATGAGCTTTCCTCGAGGGATTCTCAGGTCACTGTGGATATTCTTGGTAAGCATGGGGGTGGGGGATGGTTGGAGAAGAGACAAGGGACCTGGGCCTAGGGCAAGGGGAGGGTTGGGGGTAGTAACAGGAAGCAAAAGAAAGAATTGGGGAAAGTATTTATTTAGGGGGACAGGATGGTTTTTTCAGAGGGTCTAGCTGAGTGGGTGATTGTGGATGTGGTATACGAGGGTGGTGTGTGAGGGCATTGGGGTCGTGGTGGTTGGAGGATATGGGCATGCACTTCAGACAATGGCCTGTCTCCAGCAGACCCTCAGGACCCAGGGCAACAGGTGGATCTAGTGTCAGCATCCGTGGTGGTGGTGGGTGTAATCGCTGCCCTCTTGTTCTGCCTTCTGGTGGTGGTGGTGATACTCATGTCCCGATACCATCGGCGCAAGGCTCAGCAGATGACCCAGAAATAGTGAGTACTGGCTCTCCTTGGTGGGTAGAATTAAGCTGGGAATGAAAAGGAAGCAAGCAGAAGGTGGGACAGAACAGAGGAAAGAAAGGAGACTGAGTAGCCAGACATCTGGGGAGCTTATGGACCAGAAGTGGACAGTCTTTAGGAGGTGAGAGGGGCTTGGGGGGCCTGGACCACAGCTGGGTGGTGGGAGCTGTTTGGCCTGAGTGAGGATCAGAGACATGCAACTATGTGCACTTGCTCACACACAGGGCACACATGCTCTGCTGCCACACTGCCACCTGCAGCCACACACTCATACCTGCAGGGCTGGCAGAGCATCCACACCATGCAGCCGGGTCTCACATAGACACCTAGCTAGGCTCACCTTGGGTGGCCTGTTGCTACCCTCAGTTCCTGACAAGGGGGTGTCTTTCCCAGTGAGGAGGAACTGACCCTGACCAGGGAGAACTCCATCCGGAGGCTGCACTCTCATCACACAGACCCCAGGAGCCAGGTGTGTGCCAAGGTGGGGTGTGTGCATAGGGGTGGCTTGTGTCTGGGTGTCTATGCAGACCAGGAGCACAGTCCTCCACCAGTCTGGCTGTGACTTGGCTGGGCTGGGCTGTGGATGGGGTTGGGGAGTGTCACTTCTTTGGGACTGGGAAGACTCCTTGTAAGGCCCCCTTCACCATTAGCCTGGGGGTTGCTCTGGGAATCTACCACTAGTTCTGGGTCCAGGGTGGGGTTGGGATGACAGTGGGGAAATGAGGTTGTATCAGAGAGGGAATGGACCTGTGGGGTTGGGGGAAGGGTGATTAGGGAGGAGGCTGGTGGGAGGACAAGTGGTGAAAAGGCTGAGGGGAGGAGGCTGAGCTCTCTTTTAACTCCTCCCCCATGTCTGGGCCCTGCAGCCGGAGGAGAGTGTAGGGCTGAGAGCCGAGGGCCACCCCGATAGTCTCAAGGACAACAGTAGCTGCTCTGTGATGGTGAGGCCCCCGGCCCCACCGGTGTTCCCACCACTCTCCTCAGGCCCCTCTCCTGGCCCCAAATGTGGTGCGTTAGCAGTCCCCTTACCAGTCCCTCGCGCCTCAGCCCTGGCTCATATGTGGCCCAACCCCGAATCTGTGTTGTGCCTTCATACTCCCTCTCCCCTTCCCTTCCCCGTGCCTAACATTTGTTCCTGGCCCCTGATCTCGGAGCCCCTGTACCTGTGGGACAGTCGTTACCCCCGCTTTGCCTGACCTCTTATCCCACCGTGACCCAACCATCCCCCATTGTATCTGAATGCCCTGCTTTGGTTCCTGACTTGACCTCTGCCCTTGGTCTCCAGAGTGAAGAGCCAGAAGGCCGCAGTTACTCCACACTGACCACAGTGCGGGAGATTGAAACTCAGACTGAATTGCTATCTCCAGGCTCTGGAAGGGCAGAGGAAGAGGAAGATCGAGATGAAGGCATCAAACAGGCCATGAACCATTTTGTTCAGGAGAATGGGACCCTGCGGGCCAAGCCCACGGGCAATGGCATCTACATCAATGGTCGGGGACACCTGGTCTGACCCAGGTCTGCCTCCCTCCCCTAGGCCTGGCTCCTTCTGCTGACATGGGGTATTTTAACTCATCTCAGGGGGGCCTCCTTAAATGCCCCTATCTCTTGAGGAAGATGCTCCCCACCCCACTGACTGCTCCATGTTTTCCTCCAATCCTCCTGTTTATTGGGAGGGCTCCATTGGTTGAGTCTCTCCCACCGTGTATGCAGGTCACTGTGTGTGTGTGTGTGTGATTTTGTGTTTGTGTGAGCATTCACGGTGTGTGGAGGGATGATTGTCTATGGTTATATATTGTGCTGTCATGTTAAAGTCCAAGTGGACAGTGATGTGTGTGCCACAGGATTTGGGTGGCTGTGTGGGGAGTGATGTCAAGGTTTGGTTTATGTGTGATGTGACTGTGTGACCTCTGCCTGCAAATGCAGGTTTTTTCCTCAGACCCCAGAGCAGTATTAATGATGCAGAGGTTGGAGGTGAGAGGTGGAGACTATGGGTCAGATCCAGGTGTGCGGGCATAGCTGGAGCTGGAATCTGGCCTCTGAAGTGGGGGAGCTGGGTTCCCACCACTCTGGAGCCACCGGGCAAGTGTGAAGTGGCTGCCCAGGGGTCTGCCAGAGGTTTGAACTGTTACACGGAAGAAGCCCTCTGCCCTCTGGTGGCCTGTGGGCCTGCTGCATGTACATACTTTCTGTAAATAAACTCACAGGGAGCTTTCAGAGCGCTACTCCAGTTCCCGTGTAAGAGAAAGAGAAAAAAAAAAATTAAAAACCTTTTGATTTATCTGCATGTTTGTTACTGGGATTGCTTACTGGGAGGCCAGCCAAATTAGGAATTCAGCAAAGCTGGACCTCACTCAGACCCCACTCAGTGGGCTAATTTCTGTGATTGTGAAAGGTGATTCTAGGGCATCTTCACCTAGGCAGTCCCTGTGGAGGGAGCCTGATGGCTGGTGACATCTGGAATTGGGGTGTGAGCCCGGTGGCTACTGGCTAAGGGAGAACAAGAAAGTCTTCTTGATCCAAACAGCCCCTCACCTTTTCCCCTAGCCCCATTCCGTTTTTTAAGTTGTATTCACAGTTGTTTGTGGTCCCTTTTCGTATCCCACCCTGGAGTAGTGGAGAGAGGGTAGTTCTTATAGATGGGGGAGGGTGAATGTTCAGGTGAGGGGAAGGAGGCGCCAGGGGTGAGAATGACTCCTTTTCCCAGGGGTTTCTGGGTCGTTGATTCAGGGCTCTTTTGGCAGTTTCTCTGAGTGGGGTTTGGGGCTAGATGTTTATATTTATTTGGCCTCAAACCGAATAGCAAGATTTAGGGCTATGGATGTGGCTCAATGGTAGAGTAGCTTGCTTAGCATGCCTGAGACTGAGGGTTCAATTCTTAGCACTAAAAAAAATAAAGAGAGAGAGAGAGGCCAGGGGTGGGGGGGGAAGAAGAGGGAGGGAGGGAGAATACTGAGAACTAGTGCCTGTGTGGCTTGAACTCTGATGGATTTCTGGACCAAAGGAGAGGCTCCCAGCCTCTGTTAGCCCAGTTGGCCCAGGACTTTGTGGACCCCAAAGATCTGGTATCCTAGTATGTACATTTTGTGTAAATATGTGCATATTTGTACATAAAATGATATTCTGTTTTAAAATAAACAGATAAAACCTGTTCTGTCTGATTCCTGTCTTTTGCCTTGAACCATAAAAGCCCTCAGCGCTTGATCCCTGTGTCAGTACCAAGTAGGGCAGGAACCTGGATACCTGTAGCTGGGAGGGAAAGGGCAGAGAATGACTTCCACAAGGCCTCCAATCATCTCTGAGGGTCCCCAGGTTGGAGAGTAGAGCTAAGAACCCCTTCTGGGAGAGTCAGTGTCTTAGTTCAAAAACCTTTCTTGTACTGGAGACTTAAAACAACAGTTGTGTAAAATAGACAGTGGTGTACCCTTTTGACAGATAAAGAAACTGAAACCCAAGTTAAATGAACTCCACAGACTGTTAGAGCTGAAAGGATAATTTAAAGATCATCTAGTCTGTGCCCTTTATTATCATATGTGTGGAAACTGAGACTCAGAGAAATAATGTGGCTTGGCTGAGGTGTGAGGCCTGTCAAAGTGGAGCCTGAGAATGCTCCCTCCTGGGTGTACTTCTCAGGCCCTGTACCACCTTCCTCCTAGGCAAACCTCAGGTCTCCACGATGGACCCAAGGATTCTGGTCTCTAGGGGTGTCAGTCACCTGCTCATGCCCTAGGCGCCATCACCCCACCCCAGGGCTCTGACGTCACCTCTCCTTGACCAATGGGTGAAGTTCCAGCAATGGGTGAGGATGTGAGTGTCAGCTACCTCCCCCACCCCAGGCCCTGTGGTTGCAAAGATGCTCTAACAGGAAGCGGGTTTGAGGAGCTGCACAGCTTCCTGCCCCCCCCCAACCCCCCTGCCAGAGCTGCTCAGGGCGAGGAGGGCGAGTGCCTGGCTGGGCCACGAGACACAGCTTTGTGCCAGGGTCCTGGCAACTTCCCCTTCCACAGCTACTTCCTTGTGGCTGGGGACCCAGAGGCGAGAGCTGCTGCCCGTTGCCCAGGCCACCCTCCACCTCCAGTTTGGAGCCCTGCCCCCTGGGGCTGGGCCAAACCCAGTGGCCAGCTGGGATCCCATGGGGGACTGGTAGGGCAAAGGTCTTGGGGGACAGAGGTGGCTGGGACAGAGCCCTCCGGCCATGAAGTCTCGACAGAAAGGAAAGAAGAAAGGCAGTTCAAAGGAGCGAGTGTTTGGGTGTGACTTGCAGGAGCACCTGCAGCACTCAGGCCAGGAGGGTAAGGAGGCCAACTTGGAGATGTGGGTGGGTGGGTGGGTGGGAGGATAGGCATCAAGCGTCTTCAACCTGAACTGGTCTGAAGGGAAGGAGCTGCTTCTGGGTGCTCCTAGAGAAGGGGGCGGCAGCCCAGGGTCATCACCCAAGACACCTATGAAGAGGGAAGACAGGAAATGTGAGGCGGAGAAGGCAAAGTGATGCCTTGGTGTAAAATTTCAGGGAGGATTAAACATTAGCACCAAAGGAGCAGTGAGAGGAGAGGACAGAGAGTTGGGAAAGTCAGGAGAGGTGGACAAAACAGAGATGAGAGGATGCCAACCAAGGACAGACAGGGTCAGAAGAGGAGTGGCGGAAGGGACAGTGGATGGTTTTGGGTCTGAATGAAAGGAGACAGGAGAAAGGCCCACAGAAAGTACGAAGAAAGCACTTGAGGAGGATTAGGGCCTCCTAACTGGAGAAGAGCATCCAGGGACAAGGACCTGGTCCTTTGAAATATTGTTGGGCCACAGGAGGGTATTGGGTGGGGATGGCCTCCTTTTTGGGGGGACTCCTTATTTAGTCTTTGCAGTTCTCTGGTTTGCCCTGTACAAAGGAGAAACAGGTTCAAGGTGGAGGACAAGGGGAGAAGTGGCTGAAATGAGGAACACCGGAAGAGTGAGAGAGTTAGCTTCAGGCCTGCTTTGAAGCTGGGGTTGGAAGTTGCAAGGGAGGGTAGGTGTGGGGACTGTCGATGGGGCTCACCCATCTTCTTCTCTAAGTTTCCCTGGAGTAGGTTTGGAAGCCAGGAGGCCCAGGGATAACACTAGGATCACCTCTGTGCCTGGCATGAAGTAGCACTAAAAACCATTTCTTAACTTGAAGAAATAAACCAAGGCATACAGCTGCCCAGCCTGACTTACAGACCCCCTACCGCACCCCAGCCCACCCCAATCTGTCATTTCCTCTTTGTCCCCTTCTCTGCTTTGGCTGTAGCCTCTGCAGTTGAGGGAGGGTGATGGTGGTTCCCAGCTCATTTCCTGCTCTTAGCCCCGCCCTTGTGTCCCCAGACACCTCCTTCCCCTTTTCTCCTCCCCAAAGGGCCCCAACTAACTTGGCCTTGGTTAAGGGAAAACCCAGGCCCCAAGGAGGAGTATTAAACAGCTGAGGCCCGCTTGTCTGCACCTTCCTCTTCTCATGGGGCAGAATGAGTACAGCAAAGCTCCCAGCGTTCTCCTTTGCAAGGATTCCCCTCTAGAGTGATGATTCTTGCCAAGGACCTCATAATTTAATTAGGCATGATGTTCTCCCAGCTCTCCGCAAACTCTCAGTACGACCTCCTCATCCTGCCACGGTCCTTTCCTGTGGTTCTCATCACCAATCCTATCTTGAAACACTGAACCCACAGAGAGCCTAGACCCCATTCCTGTAACCCTACTGGCCTCCATCTGCATCCCCAGCAGGGAAAGAGCAACTGTCCAGAGGGGATAAATATATAGCTTCTGCATTCGGATCTCAGGTGAATTCCAGAGCAGGTGAGAAGCACCTCAAGAGTAGAGAGATCTTGGGCACCAGAGAAGTAGTAGCAGCCCCTTCCGCTCCCTCAGCTCTTCGTGACATAGAGAGGTGAAAGGACAGCTGGGTGCGGTGGCACACGTCTGTAATCCTAGCTTGGAAAGCTGAAGTAGGATGATGTAGAGTTCAAAGCCAGCCTCAGCAAAAGGAGGCGTTAAGCAATTTAGTGAGACCCTGTCTCTAAATAAAACACAAAACTGAGCTGGGGATGTGGCTCAGTGGTCAAGTGCCCCTGAATTCAATCCCTGGTACCTGTTCTCTCCACTAAAAAAAAGTGGAATGACAGAAAGAAGCTGGCTTCTCAACAAAAGACCCGTCAAAAAATGATGGCCCAGACCAGGGAAATCTGCTTCTGGTGAACTGATCCACTCTCTGATGGTCTTGGTTTCCTCTCGTCTCAGCTCTCTCTCAGTTCTTTGCCCCCAAATGGGTTTCTTTATTCCCAACCTATATGCATTGAGTTTTTCCTTTTCCTAATCTTTATCTCTTTGGTACCTTGTTCAGATTTCAGATTTGCCAGGTCCCTAAGATTCAGGCCCTCTTCTTTGACACAACCCCCATATCCTTGATATCTCCATCCCTTTGACATCATCACCCCAATGTTATCTCTAACTTCTATCTCTGACCTCATCGCTGATCACAATCTCTTCAAGTCCCTCATCTCTCTGGCCCTGTATCTCCTCCCTCATCTCCTGACCCATTTCCTCTATGGCTCATAACTCCATAACTTCTTAGTTTCTTCTTCTTCTTCTTCTTCTTCTTCTTTTTGGTAATGGGGATGGAACCCAGGACCTCCTTCCTGCAAGCTAGTCAAGCACTCTCCCACTGAGCTACATCCCAAGTCCACTCCTTAGTCTCTTGCATGCTCTTGGGGGCATTCTCTGAAGATTCAAAATCAACCAAGAAGAACAGGGTAGGAAAGACCTAGTTTGGCCATTGTTCATGTGAGAAGGACCTGGGGGTTTAAGTGATAGTAGAGTAATTAACAGAGTAATTCATAAATACTCCATCCTGAAGGCATGGATGGTTAAAGGTAGGGCCGGTACTACAGTGAGGCCGGAGAGGTGATAAAGGCACTTAAGGAAGGAAGTGCTCCACTCTTAGGGGCAAGTGCCTCGGGTGCTTCATTCTTAAGGAGGTATCCACTCTCAGGACTGTGCAGGACCACTATCAGCACTTGCACTGTCTTGGATGAGCACTTCCTTAAATTTTGTACCCTCGATGATTCCATTGTCATATCCAATCCCTGGCTGTGGTGGGAAGGAGTCTGAAGGGTCTGAAAACCAGGTCATGTGAGGAGCGTTGAAAGATAATGGTTGATGGATTTATTGACCATTTCCTTCATCCCATATTTCTACCATACTTTGTTCCACAAAGAGCTTGGAATGACTTCCAAGACTCAACACAGGATAAATAAATACATGAAGCATTTGGATTGAAGGGAAAACAAGAAGATCAGCACCCAGATATATGTATCAGCTGGTTCTATATGGTTCTTAGAGGTGGACTCTGAGCCTCCTCATGGCTAAAGACTTGCAAAGCCCATAAGAAAAAAGAATAGTTGGGCTAGGAGAAACACGGTTTTATTGTGTGTGTGTGTGTGTGTGATTTTTTTTTGTATTTTTTTTCTTACAGTGACAAGTTAGAAAGATTTCTATGAAAAGTCCTAGTTAATAGGATCCAATGTTTTTGTCATAGGCAATATTCTTTATTTTCAAGGGATGTTAATGATTCTTATAACTGATTAATTTATTGAGTCATTTAACAAACATCTATTGAGTTCCTATTCTGTTCATTACTGTGCTAGATACTGGGAAGATGCTCCCATTTTCCAGAATGCACAGATCCAAATAAACTAACAAAAACTAATTATAACAAAGTACAATAACCACTATAATACAGATATGAGCAAAGGACTGTAGGAACTGTACATATAAGAAAAGCGTTCAAAATTAGGGGTAATGTTTTGTTCTTATTTTGTCCTCCTAGGGATTGAACTCAGGGCCTCACATGTGCTAGAGCCCTACTATTAAGGTATACCCCCCAGGCCTGTGTTGTTTCTGAGACAG